CATCAACTGCCACTACCTTAATTTCAAACAATGGTGGCTTCTGGCTTTGATTTTAATTTGGAAAATGTATTCCTTTTGAGGAAACAAAACGCCAAGCTGTTAATGAAATAGTTTTCATAGATTTCCAAATGCTCCCAGCCAATACCAAGCAAAGTTCAACTTACTCATTCTAAGCCTTAAAATATTGCCAGTTTTCTTTTCATGTAAGAAGAACTATGTTCTTTAGATGATTAAGAACATGAATTATGATATTTTGTAGGCCATGCCTTACTTTCACTCTCGGTCAAAGTTGCACTGATGAAAATTTATCTAGATATTGCTCATAAAATAACAATGATTAAAAATCATCTCTGTTCCTTTTAAAGCAACTTATTGTACTAAATATATTAGAAAGTTTTTTAAAAACAGAATTTTTTTGGGGTGGCCTTGATATGTTTTCTAGTTAAGCAGCAAATTACATAATTTTCATTATCAATCTCCAGAGCCTTCTGTCACTACAAGGTATCAAGCCCCAAACCATTCAGCCACAAGCAGCAAAACCAGCTGTAATTCTAGAATGCCTGTGCTTTCTAAATCAGAGCATAGGCTTTCCATCAGCTTCCCAAGGGGAGCAAAGCACCAGAGCCCCCCCTAAAAAAGACTGAGTCACAAGTGTGCCTAACAAATTTTTATTTTATAGGCCCATACCAGATCTACCCAAGGCAGTGAGATTATGCTTTCACTGAAAATTTATTCTCAGATATCAGTATAAGTGGGGATAATGCAAGGAAAAAACCTGAAAAAAGTAGAAAAGTAACTAAGTTACCTACAATATTACTGCAGAGCCATGCTGAGGTCTCCAGCTGTAGATTCTTAGCACTAATTCCTGTGCCTCTGCAACCCCATTATCTGTACAAATGCTGTCCATTAGAAATGTAACATACAACCGTTGCACATGTGTAATTTTAAATTTTATAGTAGCGACATCAAAATAAGCAAAAAGAAACAGGTAAAATTAATTTTAAGAATATATTTTATTTAACCCAATAAATGCTGAACATTTTCATTTCAACATTTAATCGATATAAAAATTATTGAGATATTGTCTATATTATATACATGTATGCATATGTGTGAATATATCTATGTGTGTGTATGTGTCTATATATATATAAACAAGTCTTTAAAATCCAAGATATATTTCACACAGCACATCTCAATTTGAACTAATCATATTTCAAATGCTTAATAGCCATGTTAGACAGAGCAGGCCCATACTAAAGTACTTGTTTCATTTTTAATTGTAGACAGAATCTTATTTGAAATAGCTGAATGTGTGCACTGTTAAATCATAAATTGTTGGCAGATGTTTAAATACAATGACTTTAATTCCACTCTTGACTATTAGTGATGTCATTTTCTTTACCCAGAAGCCTGTCCTGCTACAGTTTGGTAGAGGGTCAAGAAAGATGATTCAGAAGCATGTCCTTGAAGAGTTTCCATGTCACGCACAGCGCCAAGTGACTTTAGTTTGGGTGTGGTGAGCTGACCTCAGAGTCCATTGTATGAATGGTTTTCACTTTTGTTTTCAGCTTATTGTACTTTTCTGTTCCCCTTAGCTTTGTTAGGGAGTGTAATCTAAGGAAAGTATATTTGTTTTGCAAGCACACTATGGTTTGCTCAGATTTCTAAATGACATATGTAGGATAACACCCTCCTTTTAATTGCATGATTAAAGGTCTGCCAGTGTTTCCATTAAAAATTCAAACTTCCTGGGATTTATTACACAGCCATAACAAATTGCTCCAGGCAGAAACTTGGCAAACCCTTCCTTAGCGTGGGAGGAAATTCTTTTTAACAATTTAAAAAAGATAAAAATAAATAAATTTTTACCACTTCAATGTACCCATGTGACTTTTTTGATAAGAAAGATATTCAGATAAAATACTCATTGTATCTTTACATTTTGTTTTACAAATTTGAAATATGAATTTTAACTTGTAAGTCAAATTTTGCTCGAGAGTTATTTTTTTTGATAAGAAAGATATTCAGATAAAATACTCATTGTATCTTTACATTTTGTTTGTTTTACAAATTTGAAATATGAATTTTAACTTGTAAGTCAAATTTTGCTCGAGAGTTATACAATTGCCCTCCCAACTCCCAAATTTTCAATGATTCTAGTATTCGATTCTCATACTTGGAATTATGAGTGATATAATGATTCTGAGAGGTGCTAGATCAATCAACTGTGAATCTTTGTGTTTCATCATGGTGAAAATGAACATTTTTCAAAAGGTACGGTTTGTTCTGCTCTGAATGTGCAGACTGAGACGTCTTACTCAACTTGATATTCCCAGGGCCTGGTTATTGTAGATACACAACAAATGACTGCTGGTAAATATATGATAAATACATAAAAAGCAATTTGAGAATTAAGACATAGTATGTAGTCTTAATCTCTTAAATACTTGCTTATCAAATATTCACTATATAGTAACTGGAAAACTTTTAAACCTGTAGAAAACATGCTACGGGATCTTTAACCTCTGTGATTTCCCTCACTTACGAACACCTCAAAGGATTATTAGAATAATGAAATGACTCAATATTGTGAAACCATGGGCTGGTTCCATGACATTTTTTGAAGGCTGGCTTTTACTGTGCATCTCATTCGCCTCAAGGGAGGTATTGAGAATACAATAGGTAAGAGCTGTGAAAAAAGTGAAGAGCTACGTAGATATAATTGACACATAAAGCCCCACCACTGTAAGCACCAAGGACAAATCCCTAACATTACTGTGAAAGTAAACATGGTGAAAAGTGCACATACGTTAACCAACATATTTGACTCCAAATGAAATTGATTTATCTAATGTAGCGTTGGGTGAACTGACTCCATGTTTAGGTAAACAGGAGTTAGCCTTAGAGTTGCCCTCTTCTGTATTGCATTATCTCTATTTTTGACTAGAGCAAAGCTAAGTCATCTTTCTCACATATGACTTTTGAGGTCCACTTTAAAAAAAGAAGTCAAGCCTAAAACTCTAAATAAGTATATTTTTATTTTCTTTCATTTCCAATCTGTTCAATTATGCAGTTGTTATAACCTGGTAAGCTGTGTGTGTTTGCTTGTTTGCTTTGTTTTGAACTACATAACGGGCACTTCTAATGAAAACATACACTACAATTTAAAATCTGTCACGATTTGGAGGGCTCTGTACGCTGGTTTTATTATAACGGGCTACTTCCAAAGAAAACATACACTACAATTTAAAATCTGTCACGATTTGGAGGGCTCTGTACGCTGGTTTTATTAAGCACTCTTGTGCTCCCTCTGCTGCTGTGAAGAAAACGTTCACGTTCAAGACCCCAGTACATTCCTCAGCAGAGTGTCCTCTTTTGGTAAAGATGATACGGATTTGTGCATAAATCAGGCCTCCTCTGAAATGCTGTAGCATTTGTTCAAAGCATAAAGGATAATTTTTCATTGAAAAGCACAAATTAATAAAAGGGTATTAATTAATGAAAAAAGAATAAATAGGAATAGATAGAAGAATTAAGTTCTGCACCTGTGGCCAAATTCATCCAGACAGAGCCCTGTAGGATAAACCTGTGGTCTTCACACTGTAATGTGCTTAGGAATCACTCAGGGGGCTGATTCAAAGGCAGATTCTGATTCAGTAGGTCTGGGGTAGAACTTTTGAGTTTGAATGTATGAAATGTTCCCAGATGCTGCTGCTCCTGCTACTCTGAGGACTATACTTTAAGTAAGGGTGTATAATATAATCATATGATACAATATATACTTACTGGCCCATTTCAAACCTTCAAAAGTAGATACTACCAAAACAGTAAAATAGGTATAGGGTATTAAAATTATTTAGCATTATGTTTAAGCAATCCATAACACAGGTTAGGAGGAAGGCTGATCAGGCCTTATTTTTCAATTTCCTTTAATTTCAAAAGTTGACATGCTTGTATGAAAATAATATCAGGTTTATGAGTAGGACTATAATACCACATATTTGCCTATTGGCTTCTTGAAAGCATCCCTCCATTTTTCACTGAGTTTTTATTTGCATGAGCAAGTCTTATTTTTAAAAAGAATCAGTGCCTGTCATTTATGATTGCACATTTAATATTTTGCCATCTGAAAACAAAACATTAAAGTACTAAAGGTAATACAGCTGTTTCAGGAGTATGACGGTTATGTTGGACCTTGCAGGAAGAAATAGTGACAGATTTTAGAGACAGTTTATGGGTTTAATCTTAATGACTAAGAAAGTAAATGACACATTTCTTATTAATTGTTTTTATTGTTTGGGTAATATACATATTTAGCTTCCTTGAGGGAACATTTAAATTAATTGACTAACTCCAATCTGAATTATGTTTTTAATTTAAGGTTATTAAAATAAAGTATATTAACTACTCGTGCCAATGTAACAATTACAATATTAATTTTTTTTTTAACTGAAAATTCTCTAAATGTAAGATGTCTAAAAATAGAGTAGAGGTGGATTGGACAGTTTGCAGATTATGAGTTGGAATAAAAACATCTCAGTTAAGCCAAAAACATGGCAACCAATATTTTCTGTTATAAAAATATTTTAGGTGAATTGAGTTTTTATGAAAGCTGTCTGAAACTGAAATGAATAGCAGAAGCTCTCTGTTTATTCACAGAGCAGTAGTAATAATACCTGCAGCACAAAGCATACGTCTTTTCCATGTAGAGTCAACAAGCCTCTGTTCTTTTCTGAAGTCGGCTTTGCCAAGTGGAGGAAAGAGATATTACTCGGTTATGTTCTGAAATATTAACCTTCACCTTGATACAGCTTGTCAACGAAAACAAAACGAGGCAGAGCCTTTTCAGGAAACTGATTTTAACCGTCCACTAGAGGCTGTAATGAGACCAACAATGTCACTTTAGACCAACCCGAGGTTTAAACCGTAACAACCATTGATTTTTAAATGAAAAAAAAAAGAAAAAAAGAAAAAAAAAGTTGTAGAAACGAGTAAGAATGAACAGTAAGTAGTACTTCTATTTAAAAAGCTATGTATATGTGCATGGTATTTCAAAATGTGGGAAAAAAATTATTTCCGGGGTTGTATACCTTCCTCGTTAGTATGTTTATTTTTATTTCCGAAGCACGTTGGATCTACAACACAGAGCTGTGTAAAAGCTGACACATTTTTCTCGGTGATTCTGTATACTGCTTGGTGACTAACCGTTAGGTAATAAGTAAACTCAGCCAAAAGTTTTCTCAAATACAGCATACAGTCAATGGTGGCTTCCAGAGTGAAACTTACTCGGCTGGATCATGTTTCTAGGCACTTAGTTCTAAGCACCCGAAGGGGGTCAAATGCTGCCCCGACACCTACCGGTCTTCCAGAATTATCTGCAGCAAGGAGGACGCCGCACTGAGCTAGCTCTCTTGGTATGTATGTGCCTTCTCCTCCAGGTGCCACACCTGTTGGCGAGATACACCCCTCCAAAGAAGATTCCTCTGCATGGAGCTCACACCTGGCGGTGGCACAGACAGAAAGGGAGGGGTGGTGGGAGCTGAGGACCGCACTTAAAACTTGAGCCGGAGGAAGTTCTTCGCGTGGATTCCCGAGAACTGCCATTTATGCTCGGTTTGCTTTCTCTGTCTCCTACACTGGTTACCTCATTTCCGATTAAATTAATGATCCCGAATTAGCTGCTAGAGGAGTGAGCGGGTCGTCTATCAAGGCTAGAGCTGAGTAGTTCAATACCCGAGGCAGATTTCCGGACCTGCAGAAAGAGAAAGAAGGGAGGCTCCGGAGGTCGTCAGCGTTCCCAGGCAGGAAAGGTGAGGGTGCCCGTGCAGTGGGGGGACCCTTAAAACTTTCCCGAGTTGCACGTACAGGCAGGCAATCCTCGCTGCTCCAGGGTCGGAGTTCCGGAACGCCGAAGCGACACCGGCTGGAGGGTTAACGTGCAGCTGGTGATCAGAGCACGTCCTCTTAGTCGCTTCTCCGAGCTCCAAGGACCAAGGGCAAGTCCGGACTACAATTGGCCGACCTGCCTCCCTACAGCCCCCACCCCCACCCTCCTTAGGGATATTTCATTGGCTCCGAGATGAAGCCTGACACTCCTTGGGGGAGTCCCCCAGGTTGCCTGAGTTGCACCCCGCCGTCCCTCTGTCCCCTCCAAGTAGGTGCAGGGAACCAGGGAGTCGCGCGAGGACCGACCGGTCACCGCTCAAATTACCTCATCGCCTCAGCTCCCCGCCCCTTTCCCAAACCTGGAAGGAACAGTCCCCGCGGCCCGCGTCTCCCCTCCCGCTCCCCGCTCCCGAGCC